GAGATATATATATATATATATAGATATAGATATAGATATATCACTCGATTTGGTCTCAAAATTGTTCTTCATCGGACTATGTCACTTTAATATAAACAAGAATGTTATGGGTTTTCTAAGTTTTTATGTTATGAATCTAAATTCGATTCGTTAAGGGATATATCTTTGATCAAAAGGAGGTTCGGATGCTCCACTTTTGATGTTATTTGTAATGAAAAAATGGAAAGGTAAATAACAAGTCCGGATCTAATCTATGAGGAGCGGTATAAACACAGATGACACCAATAAAATACGAAAACTTGCTTCACATTTGGAATTGCACAAAAAAAAAAACTATTTATCTCGAGGAGATCTATGTAAAATTTTCGTACAACACCAACGATTACATTCTATGAATGGTCAAGAACAGTTGGAAAATATTGAGACGTACAGCTTCTCAGGCAAATACTGTCCGCTTTGGCTCGTTACGTATCGCCATCAGCCGCATGGTTTTTAAACGCGTATGCTAGGGAGAGATTTCTATACCCTTATGAGAAATGTTTCATTCCTCTCTCCAACTGATATGGGATCTCACGTATAGCTTGACCCGTTTATGGCGGATATTGGCATAGAGGGAAAGAGAATCGATATATACATACCTACATACTAAAAAACGAGCAAACTAAGCCAAAAAATGAACGGGTGCACAATAACTAAAACTCGTGATAACCATGCATATGAGCTCATAAATGGTAGAAGAGAAACTTATAATATTTATGCATTATTCTTAAGATAATTAGTGACAATGAGAACGTTATAATCTGATTGTGTTTTAATAACCGTTGGATGTAGATCGAAAACATGTCTACTCCTAATAACCATTAGATTGCGACCAAAAAAAACAGACAATGGATAAGGTGGCACTAGCAACCTTAGCCTGCCACCAACAGGCAATGTTTTATGTTCTGTGGGATTTCATGCATTAAGACGGCGTCCCCCCCTTATCCATCTCCCATGTTTCATCTCAATATATTTCCTTTTTGTTAACTTTAAGGAACATGCTTTCTTTTTGTCTTCTCTTTTTCTTTCTTCTTGCTAGCTTGTGTCCTCTCTCGTTCAACACACACGCATGTACGACGACGTTCTCTTCTACCGATTTGAGAAGATCTTCGTGGGCTAGCGAAGACGATGCAACCAAATTTGGCTACGAGGGCACAACGCCACGAGGGAGGCAAAAGGAAGACATGGGGGAGCAATTAATGCAAGGATCGACGGTGTTGGGTAGTGTTAAAAGTAAAAGTTTGTCGAGTGTCGGTGTCGAGGCAACCTTAATAGTTCTAGATATAAAAGATTTTGACCTAATTTCAAGTATGAAATGATTGTTTGATAAAAAAATTTCGTCATACAGCTACCTAATGACGTGCATGAGTAAACAAGCAATACAATAGTTACATGACGTTGATATATGAAGGTTGAGGATGTTTTGGACACGTGGCCATAGACAGACAATGGCCTGTGAACGAGTGTCAGGTGTTAAGTAAACGAGTAGTTATCGTAGTTACTTGCAACATTGCCAAAATTTTCGAGACGTTACAGTAGGGAGAGGTACAATTTAGGTACGTTATGAAAACGACCTCTCGGGTTCACCAAAAGCAACAACAAAACCCTAAATTCTTGTATGCTTCACTCTTTTCATCCTCAACCAAACCAAATCATGAGATTCAATTCTTCTTTATTGCTCTCCTTTTCAACATTCTATAAACAAAGGGTTTCTTCTTCACTCCTTCCTTCACTTCCAACTAGCAATGAGAACCTCCATCTCTATCTCCCTCGACTTCGTATGTCCTCACCTCCCCGTTCGATCAACCAAAACAAAATGTCGTGTCAAGGCTATGCACTCCACCACAAACAACGTCGGTCGAAAATGGACCGAGTATCAAGGCATTCAGAATTGGGACGGTTTGCTCGATCCACTAGACGACCATCTCCGAAAGGAAATCCTCCGATACGGTCGGTTCATTGAAGCAGCCTATAACTCCTTTGAATTTGACATCACTTCACCATTTTACGCAACATCTCGTCATTCTAAATCTTCATTACTAAACCAATCCGGATTAAGCGAGACTGGATATCGTCTCACCAAGTATTTACGAGCCACAACGAGTATAGGTTTACCACATTGGGTTGAAAAGGCTGCCAACTCGATCGCAACTCGATCGAGTTGGATTGGTTACGTGGCAGTATGTGAAGATAAAAAAGAAATATCTCGTCTCGGACGTAGAGACATTGTGATCGCTTATAGAGGAACTGCCACTTGTTTAGAGTGGCTCGAGAATTTACGCGCCACTCTAACAGAATTACCTAATAACGAATTCAGTACAAATCGAGTCCTGTCAAGACCGATGGTAGAAACTGGGTTTTTGAGCCTGTATTCTTCGAAGATAGCGAGGTTGCCGAGTTTGAAGCAAACAATACGTGAAGAAGTTCGTAGATTACTAAAGGCCTATGATGGTGAGCCATTGAGTATCACCATAACAGGCCATAGCCTCGGCGCGGCCGTAGCAACATTGACCGCATACGACATCAATGTCACGTTTCGACAACAGGTGCCACTTGTCACGGTCGTGTCGTTTGGCGGCCCTCGCGTAGGTAACAAAGACTTCCAAAGGAGCCTTGAGGAACAAGGAACAAAGGTTCTGCGCATTGTCAACTCGGGGGATGTCGTGACGAAGGTGCCAGGCTTTGTGGCCGACGACGGCATGGAAGCACTGCCGTGGTGGGCTCGACAGTGCATGGAGAACGTGCCGTCTCAATGGTTGTACTCGGAAGTGGGGAAGGAGCTGAAATTGAGCAACAAGAACTCCTCCAATGTTCTTGGAATAATCAACATGGGAACGAATCATGATCTAAAGACTTACCTTCGTCTTGTTCAACGGTTTAAAAGCTCGAAATCTACACTATGATGATCGAAGTATTCGAATTTCTTACGTGGGTCTTGTTCTTTTGTGCGTTTTGATTAACACAGTAAAGCGGTTTTTACACTCAAGTCGGCCTTTTGAGATTGAATTTATGGGTCTTGTTCTTCAACGTCCTTAGATTCAACGCTCGATATATTTGAATTTCTTGTGGTCGAGAATGATTTTTCTTTTGTATAGCTTCATGAATGGAAAATACACCAAGCATATAGCTTTAAAAATTTGCACGTCGTTTCAGATCATCGTTTATGTTGTCGTTGAATGAAATTTTTTTTACTTTAATTTGAATTCATGTGAAACATGTACGAAATTACAACCCCGCTGATCCAACAAACTACATATTTGAGATGAAATTAGGGTTTCTTCGTTGGCTACGAGTTTTGAGTGGAACTCTCGGTAAACGACAAGGTAGCTAAAATTTCTTTTAATAACATGGGCTGTCACGACGTACAAAAAACGCTATAAAAAGTCTACGATAGCTTTTTCGTAAGCTATCGTATCCATTATTTCTTGTAGTGAACCTGCAAGAATGATGTGATGATTGCTCTACTGTCTCCAATGTGAACCTAAGACATGCATGCATGAAGTTTTGTCACTTCCTGATATATATTTATATAGACAATTATGTTATGTATCGATGTATCTAACCTCATATTTATGGACACGTGTCTCGTCTAACCTAGCTATGGTTCGGAGAATGCAAGCATGATGGCCCTTGTCCCCTCCCCCTCTCCCATGTTTCAAGCTTACATTTTCATGCATATAACTTTAAGGGAACATGCCTTCTTTTGTGTCTCTCTTTGTTACAAAGGACAAGCAAACTTTTTTCCTTTGTTTGTTTCTCGTACTCGATCTTTGTACGAAATGTATCAAAGTTGTTACAATTCATATGTGATGGGTAAAAACGGTTCGGCACGATTAATTTTAAGTGTATTGAACAATTATGGGCAAACGACTTGCACGGAATAAAGTAATCATGAAAGCCCGACTAATGTACCTTGCAACTTGTACCTTAGTCGAGTGTCGTAAAGTAATGATATCAAGGATTATAAACTTTAAGGACTAGATGAAGAAGACGTAAACAAAGAATGTCACCAAAAGGAAGATTAGAATAGATGAACAAATATCGTGTAGCAAATTTTCAAACCTGAATGAAAATTGATAGTTCGGTTGCCCTGCCACTTGAGGGTCGAGCAGATTCCACCGCTGGCACAACACCCACCCACAATCATGGACGATGAGATGCCTCCCGTTGCAGAAGCCAAGGTGCCACTATCGTCCATGAGGGGGCGAAGGAGGAATGTGGTTAGGGACCCGTGTTAAGGATATTTAGTAATAAATTATAGTTTACCATATATATTATATTTGATATTTTATTATAAGGCAAATATCTAACATTTACCTTATTACTATAGGTATCATTCCATTTATTGTTATTTCCATTTATTACTATTTCCATATCCTTGTAATTTATTTGATTATAAATAAGATAATTTTCACACCATTTAGGTGGGGTGGATTAATCAAACATTCACAACCCGCTCTGAGGAGGTCTCCTAGGAATCGGTACTGCCCGTGCAGACGACGAGAAGCCATAGTTCGGTAACCCTTTTGTCGTCGAACATGTCTATTTTTAAATAAAAGACGTGTTGAAGTTAAAAGATATAACAACATTGATTGAATTAGTAAAAACAACCGAGACAATAATGTCGACCATAACGAACTTAGATTAAACATAAAAGACAAAAATAAATAAACATTATAAAATAAGACATTTTCTCCTTATTTTAAATAATTTAAATGTAATAAAATAATAAAAAATAAAAATAATATTTTGTTTTCTTTTTAAACAAAAAAAAAAAACGAAATTAGCCCAATTTTAAAATTTAATTAATATAAATAAATTTAAAATTTATCTCGAGAACATTCTGATAATACATGTGAGTTGAACATTTAAATTACATAAAGTTTTTTTTTATTTTGTTTTATTTTATTTTTGGAAATTTTAGAAAAGAAAATATTAAAAAAATGAGGAATTTAGGTCAGTCGTGGATATTTTGCGTCTACTCCCATTAGTCACTCACTCGTCCATTGCGGCTAGGGTTTTTCGTTTTCCTCTATCTGACTCCTCTGTTTCTTGTTCTACAGATTCCTTGTTCTTTCATTGCTTAGATTCATGGAGCTCTTGTTAAGATAGGGTTTTCTGGTCGCCTTTCTACGAGTGGAATTTCCTGTTTTTGAGGTCTTTTTTGGGGTATTTGTTTTCGATATAGTTTGGAAATGGCGACCGTTAATCCATTTGATTTGTTGGGAGATGATGACGCCGAGGATCCGTCGCAGCTAATTGCGGCTAAGAAGGTGGCGGCAGTGACGTCGCCGGCGCCGAAGAAAGGTCCTGCCCAGAACAAACCGGCGGCTTTGGGGGCTCAGCAGAACAAGCCTGCTAGTCTTCCTTCAAAGCCTCTTCCTCCAGCACAGGCTGGTGAGATTCTTCGTTTCTAAATTTATTGTTTGATACCGAATATGGATTTTTTTCTTTTAGATTTTGGTTGATTGATTTTACGTTTTCTGATATTGGTTGTTGTTTCGTTTCTTACTGTCTGGCGTTCTTCTCTGAGACTACGCGATATTGAAGGGTGATAACGCTATTTAATTTGGTGAAAGTATCATAATTACCTTGTTCTTCAAAAGATTTGTAGGGTGTAACCGATTTAGTTATGTTGTGTATTGGAGTTCAAGTTTGTTTGTAATTTGGATAGTACCCAATGAGTTGTTTGTTTGGCTACTATGATTGGGACATTATAGAAGAGAAAGTAAAAATACTTTCTTTGGAAGAAAGCTGATATCGACTATGCATTTGTGATTAAATAAACTAGTTTACATAGCTTCTATTTAAATGTAAGGATTTATAATAAGCTTTAGTTTTCTATTATAATATATTGTTTTTGTCCATGGTGATTATAAATTATTGAATTTATTGATATTGTTTACAAGTTAAACATTGTCCAATTGAACATGTGATTCCTTATTGATTTGGGTTCTTTTGCGGGAACTTAGAACTCTGCAATCAATTTTCTTATGTTATTCTTTCGTTTCTATCCTTTTGTCATCCTATTGGATTCAAATTTACCAATCTACTATTGCTTTAGCTATCTACATCTTATGAGTTTTCATCAGTGTTATACATTGAGTGATCGAGATGAATTTTTTCTTTCTATGAGTAGTAAGAGAAGCAAGGAATGAAGGCGGTCGTGGAGGTCGTGGCAGTGGGAGAGGTGTAGGGCGTGGTTATGGGCGAGGCCGTGAAGGCAGTGGCTTCGTTCGTGGTTCTTTCAATAATGAGAACATCAGTGCAGCTGAAGATGGAGAGACAGGAAAGACAACCGAAAGGCGTGGGTATGGTGGTCCACGTGGTCGTGGTGGCCGTCGTGGTGGTTTCAATAATGGAGAGGCTGCTGATGGGGAGCGCCCTCGTAGAGTATTTGAGCGCCACAGTGGAACTGGCCATGGGTAAGAGGCTATTCTTTAAAAGTTCATATTACACACCCCTGCTGTAGATTCTACACTTTTTTGACGCTTTCGTCCGGATTCTATGCCTAGAAATGAATTTAAACGTGAAGGATCTGGTCGTGGTAATTGGGGAAGGCCAACTGAAGAATTTGCTGAGTAAGTACATGTGTATACCTTGGAAGGGGGGTTGGATTCTTATGCTTATCTTATTATCTCGTGTATGTTAATGGGGTTATTTTTCTCTCCTCAACAACGAGTTGTACCTTAAGCTTATTGTCTTACGTTTAGGGCTGCTGAGGAAGCTGTTAATGAAATGGAAAAGAACATGGGTGATGAGAAGCCTGTTCAAGAGGATGATGCCGGAGGTGTCAACGCAGAGAACTCTGCTAAAGAACCAGAGGAAACAGAACCAGAAGACAAGGTTAGTATGTTCAGTTTTTTAGTACGTTTCCCTTGAATTTGACCCTACTATTTCATTTGTCCTTTATTTTCTTGTGATTGAAGAGCAACTTGTATTTTGCATGCATGTCAAATTGAGTAGTCTTTATTCTTTTACTTCTAGTATCATAAAATTGATACATGTTAGAGTCGCAAACGAGCTTTGTGGGCTTGGATTCTGAACTCCATTGTACTGGTTGACTTGATTTTGAATCTAATTTACCCCTTTTTTCCTGATGCAGGAAATGACTCTGGAGGAGTATGAAAAGTTGCTTGAAGAGAAAAGGAAGGCCCTTCTGGCACTAAAAACTGAGGAAAGGAAGGTGGATCCAAAAGAATTTGCATCCATGCAACAACTTTCATGCAAGAAGGAGAACAACGACATATTTATTAAATTGGTACACCTACTTTGTCTTTTTGGTTAATTATCTATGGATCTGATGACCCTTGGCTTCTTGGTAGTTCAAATATGTAATTTTTCATTTCATCTTCATATGTTGTTTCACTTGTAGGGATCTGAGAAGGATAAGCGAAAAGAGATTGCGGATAAAGAAGAGAGAACTAAGAAGGTATTATTACCCTCATCTTCTTAAGAAGTTTCCTTGCCAATTAAATTGTTTACTCAGCTTTGATGTCTAGCAGAATTTCATGTCTTAGGGCAGCCATGAGCTCTTTTTTCTATATAGAGGCTAGTTGCAAGTCATGAGGCGATATTGCGTCTCAAGACTAGTTTTGAACTTCAAAATTTATAAAATAACAAAAATATAAAAAAATTCCTATTTAACGAAATATATCATAAATATGTAAAGTTCTCGATTGTCCATCGATATGCATTAACTTCCATGAGTTAATAATTACAAATCTTTTTGGCCTGTCATTTAGTGTCCTACTTCTTAGGCAGAAAGTACTGGGTTTTTTCTTACAATAACGTGCTAGATTGTTTGTTGATTATGAATATTTGTCTTTTCTGCTCTCGTCCCACTTAACACAATCCTGCCACCGGCTACACCAGCACTATTTTAATTTTTCTGTAAAGTCGATTATGCTGAGAAGCATGCGACTTTTACAACTCAATAGAGTAAGCATAGAGGAGAATGCTTCTTGTTCAACATCTGCCATCCTCACAACATGCTTTCCTCCAAGCTTATATTTTGAAACCATTGTTGTCCAGCCAGTACAAAATGCTTGACTAGGATGTTCTATTGTCTATTCGGAACCTACATTAAGAAATCAGATTGATTCTAGAATTTAGTTGCATTACCTATTTTTTCAGAATTATACCACGTGGGGTAGAGGTTTGGATTGACGGCCTCTTAGAGAAGGCAGAGATGAATTGACTTGACTCTTGAACTATGCACTGATTTCTAAAAAAATGAATTTAGTTCTATGTACTTCAGGTGATAGAATTTACTTCCAAATACATTTCGCACTAATCTGTGGTTGTTTTAACTTCTAATTGGGCCCATTAGAGTAGAGGTGATTTATTTTGCTTTCCCTGGAACATTCTTTTGGCCATTTACGTTAGTTGGTGGACGTACATGAACAAAATACCAAATTCTGCTTTTCCTTGTATTAACTTTGAAATGTTTTCTCCAAATGGGCATGTTGGTTTTTTCAAATTCCTGAAAATATGTTCATAGATCATGTAAAAGGTTAAATCACTGATACTTCCTTTGTTTTGGTGTTTTTAGTCTTTGAGCATCAATGAGTTCTTGAAGCCTGCGGAAGGTGAGAGACACTACGGCTCAGGTGGCCGGGGAAGGGGTCGTGGTGGCCGTGGTTCAAGGGGAGGATACAGTGGCAACTCGATCAGCAACGTTCCAGCCCCATCCATTGAGGACCCTGGGCAGTTCCCTACCTTAGGTGCGAAGTGAACTCAATAAAATTTCCCTTGAAACTGTGTTTTTGATCTGGGGCAGCAAATTGACTTCAATAATATAGTCTCTCCTAAATGATAAAAGGAAAAAAAAAAATGTAAATTGTCGGTCCTGTGTTTCTGCGTTGTATGTTTCCAACTTTTGTTTCAGACTGTCTGCTAGAACAAACTATTTATGACCTTTTCTTTTAGCCCCGCTGGTATACCGTTTATCTCCCAATTGTGTTGGACTGAGTGGGGCTGTTGTTTTTCATCTGCCCCTTTATGCTTCATGCTTCAGGTAATTGGAAATTTTCATGTGGAAGACCGCGGTTGGATCGATCGATACAACTCTTATTATGCACGATACAACTCTCGTTGCATCGATTGATACTATCTCTTGGATTAGAAACTTCCGAGCTTCCTTCACTTATTGTCTTCTTTGGACTTTCTTTGTTTGACTCTCTTGAGGTTTTAAAACGCGTTTGTTAGAGAGAGCTTTCCACTCCCCTAAAGTGTTTCGTTCGTTTTCTTCACCGATCGGAGATATCTCATTTTTGTATTATTGTGATTAATGTAGCATTGCATATGCATATTTTCATATATTTATGGATCTAACATTGATATACAAGATCATCATAAAAAAATATTAACAAAATATGAATATAAAATTAATAAATATAATTTGAATTCTTTTTTTAATTATTATTTTTGCCAAAATTAAAACAATATTTATAAACAATGCTAAGACAAAACAATGATTCTCGCTGTCAAAATGGCAGGAGTAAATTTGTAAAATTACCAAATAAGTTCGAATGACGCGAATAAATGGAAGAATTTAGGTCAATCGGTTACTCTTTTTTTGCGGCTAGGGTTTTTCCTTTTCCTCTATCCAATTCTCCTGCTTTCCCACAGATCCCTTGTTCTTACGATTCTTTGATTCATGGCGCTCTTATTAAGATAGGGTCTTCTGGTCGCCTTTGTTCGAGTGGAATTCCCTGTTTTTGAGACTTTTTTTTTTTTTTTTCTTTGGGGTATTTGGTTTCGATTTAGTTTGGAAATGGCGACCGTTAATCCATTTGATTTGTTGGGGGACGATGACGCCGAGGACCCGTCGCAGCTAATTGCGGCTAAGAAGGTGGTGGCGGCGCCGCCTAAGAAAGGTCCTGCCCAGACCAAACCGGCGGCTTTGGGTGCTCAGCAGAACAAGGCTGCTAGTCTTCCTTCAAAGCCTCTACCTCCTGCACAGGCTGGTGAGATGCTTCGTTTCTAAATTTCTGGTTTAATTTCGAATATAGATCTTTTTTTCCAATGCTTTTGGGTGATTGATTTGCAAGTTGAACAACTTGTGATTAGTTACTACATTTCTATCTATAAACTGCTTATGAGTTTCAATTGGTATGAATTATACATAGTGATTGAGATAATATTTTTCTTACTATGAGTAGTAAGAGAAGCAAGGAATGAAAGCAGTCGCGGAGGTCGTGGGAGTGGACGAGGTGGAGGACGTGGTTATGGGCGAGGCCGTGAAGGCTCTGGCTTCAATCGTGGCTCTTTCAATAATGAGAGCAGCAGTGCAGCTGAAGATGGAGAGACGGGAAAGACAACTGAAAGGCGTGGATATGCTGGGCCTCGTGGCCGTGGTGGCCGTCGTGGTGATTTCAATAATGGAGAGGCTACTGATGGGGAACGCCCTCGTAGAGTATTCGAGCGCCACAGTGGAACTGGCCATGGGTAAGAGTCTGTTCTTTAAAAGTTAATTTTACACACCCCTGCTGTAGATTCTACACTTTTTTGATGCTTTCGTTTGGATTCTATGCCTAGAAATGAATTTAAACGTGAAGGATCTGGTCGTGGTAATTGGGGAAGGCCAACTGAAGAATTTGCTGAGTAAGTACATGTGTATACCTTGGAAGGGGGGTTGGATTCTTATGCTTATCTTATTATCTCGTGTATGTTAATGGGGTTATTTTTCTCTCGTCAACAACGAGTTGTACCTTAAGCTTATTGTCTTACGTCTAGGGCTGCTGAGGAAGCTGTTAATGAAATGGAAAAGAACATGGGTGATGAGAAGCCTGTTCAAGAGGATGATGCCGGAGGTGTCAACGCAGAGAACTCTGCTAAAGAACCAGAGGAAACAGAACCAGAAGACAAGGTTAGTATGTTCAGTTTTTTAGTACGTTTCCCTTGAATTTGACCCTACTATTTCATTTGTCCTTTATTGTCTTGTGATTGAAGAGACACTTGTATTTTTGCTTGCATATCAAATTGAATAGGCTTTATCACTTTACTTCTAGTTTCATAAAATTGATACATGTAAGAGTTGCAAATGATCTTGGTATGCTTGGATTCTGAACTCTGTTGTAATGTATGACTTGATTTTGAATCTAATTTATGCTTTTTTCCTGATGCAGGAAATGACTCTGGAGGAGTATGAAAAGTTGCTTGAGGAGAAAAGGAAGGCTCTTCTGACACTAAAAACTGAGGAAAGGAAGGTAGATCCTAAAGAATTTGCATCCATGCAACAACTTTCATGCAAGAAGGAGAACAACGACATATTTATTAAATTGGTACTCCTACTTAGTGCTCTTTCGAAGTTTATTATCTGTGGATCTGATGAACCTTGTCCTCTTGGTTCTACAAAGTTGGACTTGGCCGTATCATCTTCGTTTGTTATTCCACTTGTAGGGATCTGAGAAGGATAAGCGAAAAGAAATTGCTGAGAAAGAGGAGAGAACAAAGAAGGTATTGCTACCTCATCTTAGAAGATTTCTTGGCCATTAAATGTTACTTCAGTTAAATGTACGGCAAAATCTTAAAAATCATAGGGCAGTCTTAAAAATCATAGGCCATTAAATGTTTCATAGGGAGGCAAGTTGCAAGTTTTGAAGTGAGATGAGATGCAAGTCTCATTTTGAACTTGATAATATTGAAGTTATATAATAACAATATTATATAAGAAGTCCTATGCAAAGAAATATATTACAAGAAAAAGGGAGAATCTGAACTATCCATCACTATACCTTAGTTTTCATGAATTAATAATCGAAGGTCATCCTCGAAACGGAGAAATAAAGATGGCAAACAAAAAATTTTGCCTTGTCCCCAGTAGATGGAAAAATAACGCTACTCTAGAACCTACAAGCCTGTTTTTCTTCTAAACATGTTTAGATGATTTAAACAGTAAACAAAGAAAAAGAGGTGCATAAAACAGTAAACAAGGAAAGGAAAGGTAAAAAACGAGATAGTGAGAACTGACATTTTAGCTTTGTTGTTTGTCTCCACCACAAACACTTCTTCTAGCGAGGACAAAATTGAGGACAAAATTATGGCTGTCTTTTGGATCTTTTACTTTTTAGGCATAAAGTTTGAGTCTTTTTTCTTGTAAAAAAAGGTGCCAGATTGTGACAATTATATTTGTCTTTTCAGCACTCTTCCCATTAAGCACAAACCCATCTCCAGCCAACAGTACTATTTAAATTTTTCTGTGATGTCAATTTCGCAGTGGGACATAGGCCCGTTTACATCTCAAATGTGCATGCGTAGGGGAGTATGCTTTGTGTTCATCATAGGCTAACCTCACAATTTGACGTTGATGTTCAGCCATGATTTTTTTTTTTTTTTTCTAGGATGCTCTTTGTTGGATCTATCTAACACTAAAGAACAAGTAGATTTAGTAATTAGATGTTCTTTACTAGGTTGCTCTTTACTGGATCTATCTGATAAAATGCTTTACTAGGATGCTCTTTATTGGATCTTTATAAAATTTAGTATTTAATTGAATCTAATTCAACTGACTACTTTATTTTAGAACATTATGGGTGGAGGTTTGTATTGACTAGGAGTTACACACGACATAACTCTTGAGCTATGATCGTGTGATAGGGGAACTCGAATATAACTTTGCTTTTCATAATTTTAGAGAACAATTATCAGAGGAAAATAAGTACGTTATACAATTGAGCTTTAAAGATCTTTTTTTTTTTTTTTTGACTTTTACAATTTCATCTTCATCGGGGAAATATACCAACTTTATATTGAAATCAATCAATCTTTAGTTTGATTACTCTATATTTCTAACAAATATAGTATGCACAAGGCTGTGGTTCTAACTTCTAATTGGTCCCTTTAGAGTAGAGGTGATTTATTTTGCTTTCGCTGGAACATTCTTTTGGCCATTTACGTCAGTTAGTCTACAGAAAAAACACCAAATTCTGCTTTTCCCTTCACAACTCTGAAAATTGGAATATATTTCTGTTTTAATTGTACATTATACATTTTGGTAGTTGTAGGAAATGGGTCTATGCAAATTGGAAATAGACCTTGTAAAAGGTTTAAATTACTGATATTTATTTTGTTTTGGTGCTTTTAGTTTTTGAGCATTAACGAGTTCTTGAAGCCTGCGGAAGGGGAGCGACACTATGCCCCTGGTGGCCGGGGAAGGGGCCGTGGCCGAGGTTCAAGGGGAGGAGGAGGAGGATACAGTGGCAACTCGACAATCAATGTTGCAACCCCATCCATCGAGGACCCTGGGCAGTTCCCAACCTTAGGGGCTAAGTGAAACTTCTCAATAAAATTTGCCTTGAAACTGTGTTTTTGATCTGGGGCAGGAAATTGACTTAAATAATCTTAGTCTCTCCTGTATCAAAATGATCTTTTAAGTTCTATTTGTTTAGGTGTAAATTGTGAAAGTCTTGTATTTTTGTTTTCAGCAGACTGTTTGTCAGATCAAATTATATATTTGACGACTCTTTTTTTTTCCTGCCCTCACAGCATGCGCTTCTTCCCACATGTGTTGGACTGAGCAAAGGGCAGTTGTTTTTCATTTGTTGCTCTTCATTTCATGCTTCTGGGAATTCGATTTTCTTGCTGTTGGTGGTATGATTTTCTTGCTCTTCATTTCATGCTTCTGGTAAATATTTGATTAAGAAAACAGTCCATGGGTTCGGAGTTAAAAATGGGATGATGCTCCAACACTATTAGGGATAAGCTAACCAAAAAGTTGTACCAGATGGGGAGCCACTGAATGTTGAACCTACTAAAAGAGTAACCTTGTCTGGCCATGGACGACTTTGTCTTACCTGAGTAATGGGGTAGATGAATGAACTGAGATCATATTCGAATGAGAGCGATTCTGAGAATAGAATAGCTCAGAAAGATTTAAAAGAATTGAGAGTTACTACCTATACTAATAAGGTGTACGACTAAGAAAGACTCTAAAAATTGAGAGTTATTATCTATATTAACAAGGTGTACCTTTCATTTTGGTGGTTCAATCATTGGAAGTCTAAGATTAAGCATGTTTTGCTTAAAACAATTATATGTTGGGAGACCTCTGGCAAATTTTCCAAAGACACGGATTTTGAGCTTGTGTTGGTTTTGGCTGCCACAACCATTTAGAAATTGTTAGATAATATGAAAGCTTAAGATGAGAAATGATATGAATCAAACTACTAATCCTTTGCATGTATTCGAAAGATTGATTACAAGTAGTGTAAAGAAGATTCAAGAGGTTTCAAAAGCTAGTTGATGTTTATCATTTGGTATCAGAGCATTTGGTTGACGTTTTTTGGCCGGCTCAAGAGGTGAAATATCTTTACTTTGTTAAGTTAGCTTTATTTGTAAAATTTTGCAAGGATCCTAGAAGAACTTCTAGCTTTGCAAAATACAGTAATGGTTGGTGCTTATCATTTGGTATCAGAGCATTCTTTGGCTAACACTAAAGGTGAAATATATTTCTCTCCTTTCTCTCTCTCTTCCCTTTGTTTCTCTCCCTCCTCCTTCCGCTAAGATAATTTGAGTTGAGTCGGTTCGGGTTGTCTGTTCGTTAGATTCAATGTACACCCTTAACTCATACAATGACTCGTATTGGTCAAGTATGCAACTCGTTTGCGTGTAGCTTTCTTTTCCCTTTCACTCTATTTTGTCACATTTATTTTACCATTTTTCTTTTTTGAATTTGAGATGGTAATGCGTTTACTTTTCTCCTTTAATTTGTTTTCCCTTTAAAAATCACAACATATAATTAGGGGATCGTCCCATCTTATAGAAAATGGGGGACAAAAGAAAAAGTTGGGTTACAAAAGAAATACAATATTCCACAATAGCTTTCTCCTATTCTTTTAAAATTTTCAATTTTATCGTTTATGTATTAAATTTTTTCAATTGTCGTTTTTTATTTTTAGATTAAACGTGTGAGATCTCACATTAGTTAGAGAAGGAAATAAAACATTTCTTATAGGGGTGTGAAAACCTCTTGTTAATAGACGCATTTTAAAATCGTAAGGTTGATGATTATACGTAACGAGCTAAAGTGAATAATATCGGCTAGCGGTGGGAATTGTGAAACTAACCACAATACATAAGGAGTTAAAGTGGACAATATCTACTAGCGGTGATCTTGAGCTGTTACAAATAGTATTAGAGTCAGATATCGGGTGATGTGCCAGCGAGAACGTTAGCCTCCTATGGGGGTGGGATTGTGAGATCTCACATTGGTTGGAGAGATTCCTTATTAAGGTGTGTCATGAAACCGTGAGGTTGACAACAATACATAACGAGCCAAAACGGACAATATCTGCTAGCGATGATATCTTGAGGTGTCACACATGGTATAAGAACCAGACACCATGGAGTGTCAGCGATGACACTCACTCCCTCGAGGAGTGGATTGTAAGATTGGATTGTAAGATCCCACATTGGTTTGAGAGAATTTCTTATAAGAGTGTAGAAACTTGTTCCATGAAACCCTGAGAGCGATGACGATACATAATGGATGAAAGCGAACACGCTCGAAAACTTGGACAGCTAGAAAGCGTGTCTTTTTCATCAAATCAATATATCATCATTCTCATGGTAAAAAAGAAGAAAGAAATCTATAATACATTTTAATTAAAGGTTTTATGAAGACATTATTATATTTAGATTAGTGTATTGATGGGCATTTAATTTGTTCTCGAGGAATCTTTTTGTGAAGAGAAAAGAAGACAAGAAAAGTAATGAAAAGGAAAGAAAGTTGAGAAAATAAAGGAAAAGTTAAAAAAGAATATTAATGTGTAATAGCTTGCCTTTCACTCTATTGTTCCAATCTATGTCATCAAATTAAATATTTTACGTTAATCGATCTCGAAAAATATCATAAAATTAAGTTTATTGATTTAACTGTGACTTGTTATGCCCTACACGATATGAACATATATGATCTAGTAATCGCCTTTTTGTTTGAGTATAAAATGGTTGGTCGTTTGCGATTGGATTTTTCTTTAATAAATATTTAAGGTATAAAATTTTATGTTTTTCGTTTTTTATTCACATTAGTATGCATGTAGTAACGAGCCCGATTGATCTGGATCTTGAAAAATTGGGTTACACGTAAGATTTCTGATTTTGATTTACGAACAATAAAATAAATAAAACTCTCACTAAATGCTACCTATTTGTAATGTATTTTTTTTAGTTAGATCTGAAAGGTTTGAATCTCGAGAATTTGGAACATTGGTTAAGTCAAACATTACCCAGGTCCCAAAGTCAAAGATTCAATCTTGAATTTGAAATTGAGATCGACACCGAATGGTCTGATCATGTTACACACATCTCTTAGATAAGTTTATAGAAGGTCACTATGTTAGATGAAAGTCCCACGTCGGCTAATTTAAGGAATGATCATGAGTTTATAATCAAAGAATACTCTCTCTATTAGTACAAGGCTTTTTGGGGAATCCTAAAGCAAAACCATGAGAGCTTATGCTCAAAGTAGACAATATCATACCATTGTGGAGAGTCGTGTTCGTCAAACACACTGAACTTAAGATTGCTGTAAGCGAAACCCATTTAAATTTTGAATTCAATTTTTTTAATTGAGTCACTGAAAATAAAAATATACCTAATTATTATTTTATAATATTTATTTTACTAATTTATAACAAACACCATTTATTCTAGGAAGATTTTGATAGAATATTTATATATAAATAAATAAAGTATACTTGTTTTTCTTATTTCTCACCAACTTTATATATAAAAATAATAATTAAAAAAAAACCCAAAAAAGAAAAAATAATAATGAGAAAAAGAAAAAGAAAAAACAAAGAAATTTCCAATATAATAATAATAATAAACGAAAAAAGAAAAAAAAAACCCTAAAAATAATAGTCAAGGAAGAATAGTATGAGAATAAGAGTCCCAATGCCATGAATGTTGTTGATCTCCACCGAACTGCCACGGCGAATCATAGCCGGCCAGCAGCAGCCCATCACTCCCTCCGACCACAAGATCCGGCAAATCAAACCACGTCTCTTCCTCCTCCTCCTCCTCCTCCGCCATTGGTGGTTTGAGGGTGGCTGCGTCTGCGGCGGCGGCCTGGATGTCCTTGGCGGAGAGGGAGGCAGGGCGGGGGAGTTGGTGTTTGAGTTCAGGGAAGTTGAGGAATGCACCACAGCCTTTGATGGCAAGAGCCGCCGCGTCGTGTGCTCGTGCCGCCATCTCCGCGGTCGAGTATGTACCGAGCCATATCCTTGATTTCTTCCTTGGCTCCCTTATTTCGGACACCCATTTTCCCCACGCTCTCCGACGAACCCCTCTGTACTTCCTCGTTGAGTGGCTCGATTCGCTCTCGCTCTCTATGTTGCTCATCGTCGTACCCCTCGGCCTCTTTCGGCCGTTCTCGCCGGAGGAAGAGGCGGAAGAAGAGGCGGAGGAGGTGGTGGTGGGTTGAGAATGGTGGGAGTTTGTGTTCATCGTAGAAAATGGAGTGAGAGAGCGAATGGTGAGTTGTGCTTGGCCTTTTATTTATTTATTTAATTAATTAAAATTAATTTTGGTTGATTTTTTTATTTTTATTTTTATGGGGAAATGACGTGGAATATTTATTTGTGGGGTAGGGTATAATAGGGCATATATAAGGTAGATTACAGTTCAGCAGCTGCTTTGTTTCCCATGTGGATACTCTACGTAATAATTATAATAATATAATAATAATAATAATAATAATAATAATATTACCATAGTTTATATTTTGACCTTGTCTTATTCATTAATTACTCGTTGATTTTATTAGACGATATTGCTTTTAGAGTCCGATATAATTTTAAATGTCTATAGATTTGATATCAATATAAGAGATTAATTGACATTTTTGCCTGTTTTGTAAAATTCATAAGTTTAATTGTGACATCCGAGTAAAGTAAGGGTACGTGAATGACCCGAGACTATATCCGAATGAGAGCGATCTTGAAGATAGGATGATTAAGAAAGACTTGTAGGAAAGGAAAGTTACTAACTGTACTGATAGTGTGTGTACCTTCTTTTTCGGTGGCTCAATCGTAAGAACCCTATGGTTAAGCGTGATTTGCTTGGAGTAATTCTATGTTGAGTGACTAAGATGCATGTGAGTGAAAGTGAAGTATGTTCGAAGGACTCGTGTTGGTTTGTAGGGATAGTTTTCACTCGTAAGAAGCGAGGGGTAGGTAACATGGTCGTTGTTGCCCGAGAAGGTCGAGGTCATTAGGTGCCGAATCTGGATATATCGTCGGTTTGTAGGGATAGTTTTCACTCTTAAGAAGCAAGGAGTAGGTAACATGGTCATTGTTGCCCGAGAATGTTGGGGTCATCAGGTGCCAAATCTGGATATATCATCAGTTTATAGGAATAGTTTTCACTTTTAAGAAGCGAGCAGTAGGTAACATGGTCATTGTTGCCCGAGAATGTCGGGGTCATCAGGTGCCGAATCTGGATATATTGTTGGTTTGTAGGGATAGTTTCACTTTTAAGAAGCGAGAAGTAGGTAACATAACCATGTTACCCGAAAATGTCGAGGCCCATCAGATGGTAAATTTGGATGGTCGAGAAGGCTCTTTAAGTTTTTTTTTTATTTTTTAAATAATAATAAAAGTAATGTAATTGAAGAAAAAGAATATGATATGAATAGAGTATCCAAAGCTATGTGGTTATGTCTTCCTCAACTTGACACTATTTATATCCCAACCTGTCTCTGCCACATCACTGTCTTCATGTTTTTTTTCTCTTCTTTTAATATTTCTTCACATCTTACTATATATTATTCTAAGCATATAACAACAAACCAATTCTAATTACTTTCTCTCCCTATATAATTGGTGTTAACTTATCGTTTAATGGACTTCACATGTGTGATTCATACGTAAGGGAAGACGAGCTTGTCGTTGAGGACCTTAGGACAGTGGCCCCTCTTTCCGAGATGTACAAATTGACTAGCATCGCCTCGAAAACGGTTAAAAGAAAAAAAAAACAATGTAATCTCAATGTATCCTTTCTGTAGTAGCTCCTGTATGAGGTTAGATATACGTATACAGTAAACTTTAATGGATTGCTAACTCGTGACATGCCCGGAATTAAGATTATCTTGCTTCATATTCTAACCTACAAATTAATTTGTAAGCCTATGATCCAAGTCGTATAAACCATTGATCATTTATATGCGCCCAAAATCA